CCACAGTTACCAACACTCTCGTGCCTACCAAGAACAGTCGATGCTGCGTGAGTTCGGTGGCCGAGAGACTCGCTTGCAGCTTGTCGGCGGAACATGAGAAGCATCCAAATGCCACCGAGCGGCAAATAGCAGTCATTCAGTTCAGTTCACGTTCTGGAAGAGAGGCATGGTTTGACTTCTGTCTGCTCGGAATTCGGGTCGAGACCAGACCACGATGTGAAGTGTCCGCGTCGTGACGTGAGGGCACGGCACACCGGTTCAATACAGGCAATAAGATGGGTTGTTCGCCATTGCCAATCCGCAGTATTGAGCGATGTATTATTAGAGTTAATACTGCCGAACAATCCGTGGACGTGCGGCCCCCCGTTGCAGTAACCCTAGGAGTTTCGCTTAATCAATCCCTGTTGAGACACTAATCACGGATTTAATCAGAGATTAATTAATCAGTGATCTGAACCCCAGTGCATGTGGATAGAAAAAAGAACTACACTGCTGGGAATCGAACTCACGTCAGGCAGGGAATATCTAGCCATGACTACCACTCCGCCATCCAAGCCATAACTAGATATCATAATCATAGTGGTAGGAGGGCATGCTAGATTTCAGGAATTCTATTGCAATCTTCCTCTTGTAAATTCAGATCAGTTGAATTCACAAAGATATGAAGTGTTTAAACTGCTTTAAACCAGTTGAATAACCTGAACCAATAAAGTTGGATTAATGGTCAGATGAATCCTAGAAGATTAATAACACCTCAGATTAAAGGTCTACCTGAACTTGGAGAAAGATTAACAGACTAGGATAGGAGATCAATAAAGTCATTGACTACACAACAATGATGAATCACGGATGAAAAGATTAATGTTTAATCGGCCCAACATTAATAATAAAAGGTAGAACTAAGATGAAATTGATGGGGTGGTGAATAATAACAAACTCCAACAGGCAGAAGATAGAGACGCAGGTGTACACATCTCATACCACAATTTAATCCTCAAGTTATGGTCTCCTTGGGGCAGTTGGTAACACGGCCCGCGTTCATGGCCTATTTTCCCGAGGCTCTGTGTTCGATCCTTGCAAGTCCCGTCCTTTTTGTTGGGTGAACCACGATTAATCTCTGTTTAATCCCTCCAGCGGATTAATTCATCACTGATATAATCCAGGATTAGTGTCTCAACCGGGATTGATTAAGCGAAACTCCTGGGGCTTTATCCCGTTGAGAAATATCTGTCAGTCGGCGCAGTCACGGCGTTCGATCCCCATGGTCTCTCGCTCAATGTATCTCTGACTGTTTCCTTTACTGAAGAAACCACGGCGCCCTTCGCCCAGGTGTGAGATGTTGCTTTGAAACGAGGAGGATTTCGAGTCGAACATTGCCAAGATGGCCGAACTTGCTTCAAACTCATGAGATAAAATAAACTTGCTTGACCTTGGTAATGTCCAGGGTAGGTAAGGATCCCTGAATGACGTTACACCGGCAGAGCTTGATGATTCTAAATTGGCGATCGCACTCGGAACCGGATTGTGGAATTATTATTTTGAATACATTAGTCGATACCCGTGAATAAATTCACGGGGAGCCCGACTGGAGCTGAGCTCCCCGAATTCGGTCCTACGTCCCGTACTGCCACATCCTAACCCGTTTCCGTTGATCTTCTTTATCGCCTTTTCGCCACCTCAGTACTCTGTCCTGTTTGGTTTCTGAGGGACAAATCATCAGATGGCATGTTGCGGCAGGGTTGATATGGATGGAACTCACTCACAGGAGATTGGGGCTCAGCAGAAGCGAGTCTGAAACGATCTGGCCCCTGATGGCAAAGTTTAAGCAAGTTTGCCGAAATACGGCTAGATACGGACCCGTAATATATTTCGGGACAATGGCGCCAACTACGCGGCATCGTGTAGTTAAATGATCGCATCATCACATTGTCTCGTCTGATTCCGTTCTTATGCGCCGTCGTGCTCCCCCAAGTGCTTTGGCTACAAAGTTCAAATCCTTTCACCTCAGAGTTCCAATTTTTGCTCCAAAAAATACTACTGTATAACAATCACATGGAGAATTTGCAATCCTAGAATATACAAGCGGCTGCTCGGCCGCTTCGCAGCTTCGCAGCCTCGCATCCCCTCCCTGAATTTAACAGCCTCTCAGCGTCAAAGCATCATCCGGTGACCGTGTAAACTGCGCTTGCTCTGCGCTTTCTATAACTGGCTGGAGTTGATTTACCCAGAACGGAGTTTAAACGCTTCACACATCCGTTACTTTATAAAAAGTTAGATGAGAACATCATCCCTGGACTTGTGTCTCTCTTGATACGGTGGGAACTTAAAGGCACTGGATCTGTGGGGCTCGAGATTAATTGAAAGATCGCCGCATTGCTGAAAAAAGACGTGGGAAGTTAAGGCGGCAAGAGACAGATTAGCGCCGATTGAGGCCCCAAGCGCCATGAAAAAAATTAGCGCTGAGCGCTTGTCTCTCTCTTTCGGGCGTGAGACAATCCATAGATTTGGGTCAGAAAGACCATATGAAGGGCGTTAAAGGCTTCAGACAGACACCCGTTATTTTATAAAGAGAGATAATACTTCACCGCAAACTTCAGCACAGCAGGCCAGAACTAAAATGTGATGTGGTATGAACACTTCAAAATGGAATGCAGAGAACACAATCCTGATATGAAATGTGAGCGGTTTTTGACGTCAGTCTGTTAACATCAAACTGAGGTATGTTTGATCCCATTGTTTTCTCGACATTGCATATCAATACCAGATCAACCGCTGACATCAGGTCATTGTCCGGTCGGGTTGGTGGTACGGCTCCTCGGCATGCGCCGAAAGTGGTTTTCGGTACGTGTGGCCGTAAGGCATACGTACGGTGCGATTCCCTAGAAATACACATTGTTGAATATTATTGATAGTGCTGATCGAAGAAAACGATGGCAAAGAGTAATAGAGAAGTGTCGGTTGGGCGAATCGGACGCGGAATTGGTGTCACAAACCGGTTGTAAAGCGTGTCAAAAGAAAGGTGACAGTGGGCATAGAATATTTGCCTTGTATGCGCGGCGATGCAAAAAGCGAGGAAATCTTGATGAAATGAGGCTGATTATCGAAACCCGTGACAATAGATTCCAAGAGATGGTCCGGCCTGAGACTCCAGTAGCAGGCAGAAGCGTTGAGAGATGGTTACTGGCATCGATAGTAGAAATAGTTCAGGTAGGTTTGAGAACCAGGATCTACTGCATGGCCCCGGCGCAATGTCGTAGAATTAGACTGCGCCGCAGGCAGCGGCAACTGCAATGAACAGCGTGCTGTCAAGAAAAAACTGCGCATAGGTCAGCTGTTAAGCTGCACGGGATTCTTGACTAAGGATTTTAATAAGCATGTTGAACCGAGAGCAGTTCAATGTGAGCTTCTGCCATGATTGATATTTGCGTTGCGTGGGCACTTGGATGTTCCTGTGAAACGTGCGTAGTCTGTGGTTGAGCTAATGGGTGAAAAACAATAGAAATCGGTTTACATGGGGTAATTGCAATCGTGCTATTTCGTCAAAGAATGGGTAATGTGGCTGCTGCGCAGACTGACAATTGATATTTAGATTGGACACGAGTCAGCAGCCGATTCCGCGCCAAACGCCTGTCAAGACGACCCGACCCGTTGGGTATTACGGTCTCACGCGCGGGGTTGGACCACAAATGGCAGCCAGTCAGTTCAATTCACGTTTTGGAAGAGAGACTCGATTCGAGTCTTTTCTGTTCAGAATTCTAGCGGAGCAGACCACAATGCGAACTGTCCCCGTTGCGGCGTACACGGCAGACCGGTTATTTTTTAAGAAAGAGTAAGAAACCCGATGTGGGAGCGGGTCTACGGGAGTTGTAGTGATTGTAACGGAGTTGTTAACTGTGCGGGAGCGATTGAAAATGTAACCACGACGTGCGGAATCATCTCTTCGGACTTGAGGAGCTATTGCGTTGTTACAGCCGCCAGCAAACGCGCATAGACCTTGCGCGGAAATGCAGATTTAGGTTTGAACAGGATATCGGTCTTGTAAGCTGAACTGGGGAAATAGTTGAAAAATCAAAAACTGGGACGAAAGATCGCCCTCTGAAAGGCCGCCGGGCAGCGCACGGAAAAAAATACCAGGAAGGGATCCAACATTGAGTTACACATCAGACAGGGTGGGACTGCGGTTCGGTGTGTCTGAATTTCCGCCAAACTCGCCAATGGTATCTACAGCCCCCCTAGGCGCTCGATTAGCGCTCGAAATATCTGTCAATAAAGCCAAGTTTCTGCAGTACTAGTGCACTAGTATTCCATCCCCAGGCTCTCTCGCTTGGGCTGAGATGTAGATTCAGGCCGCGTATCTCTGGGTGAGATGTTTGATTGGTTGATTTGAAACACCCAACGATTTTGAGTTGAGTCGAAATGGCATTGATGGCTTAAATAGGCTAGCTCACTCAGTTCTGTTTGTCTATTGAATCGCGGATGTAGAAGACCATTCTGCTACCTGGAATTTCCCTGTGAGATGAGAGAATTTACCTATCTGCAGACCGAGTTCTGTCAAATGACTCTCCCTTTTTCTTTTGACAAAAAAGGACAGAAATGAAGTTGAAGTGGATGCATCCCCCTAGAGCCTAGCCCGAAGCTAGCATCGAGGAGTGCGCCAGTTTGTCATGGGAAGACCAGATGTTACCGGCACACGACGAAAGCATCAGGACAGGCCACCCTGAGGAGAAGGCGTCACAACTGGCAAAATCCCGCCCATGAGACTGGTGTTGGATTTTCATTAGTATACTAAATAAACCAAGTGTATTGTCGGTCGTCTTGGTTTGTGGAATTGTGCAGGAGTACATAAACAAGTTAAAGAAGTACTGGAAACGAGGGAAGGGTCGCACGCAGGGCACGCAAAAAGTTAAAGAAGTACTGGAAACGAGGGAACGGTCGCACGCAAAAAGTTAAAGAAGTACTGGAAACGAGGGAAGGGTCGCACGCAGGGCACGCAAAAAGAGTGCGTCCGCCGGGAGTCGAACCCGGTGCTAGGCCATACTTCAAGATATACAATTGAGAGCATGGGAAGACCCAATGTTACCGATACACCACGAACGCCTTCTGCGACAGAGACATCAGGGCGAACCTAGACGGGAATGGACAGCGCACGAATTTTATTCGGAGACTGGTTTCGTTCTAAAGTGGCCAGGTATTGTGCAACGAACACAAGGCCCAGATGCCCCCGATGAATCATGATTCTGGATCAATTGTGCATACCAAGGTTCTGCGCAAGCGAGGTTTCATTCCAAAGCTGGTGCGCCGTGACGCGGGAACGCGTTGGTCACGGTCTCGTGCACTCCAGCCACCACCACAATGCTCTCTATGCGCCTGGACGACCGAATGCGCCTCAACATGCGCCTCAATATGGGTGTCGCGAAGACTCCGTGCCGCGAAAATGCAAGGCGGCGATGCTCATGACGGTGCATGGAAAGGGAAAACGGCACCCCTTGCTGCAATCCGGTCGTGCGTTTTATTTTATTATAACGGGTTAGGACTCATAATATTGACGCAGAGCCAATGCCCCGCACATCTTCCCTGCTACCGAGAAGAAACCCTCAAGTCACTTGAAACGGCCACTGGGCGACAAGACGCCTTTTCCGAATCGCGAGATCGCCGCGGTCTTTGGCGGAAACAAGCTCCCCAAGCTGGTTCTCGAGAATAGTAGCCTAACGCAGCGGGTGGCACGACACCACCAAGCGTCCTGCGCCCGAGTTCTGCGCGCACCAAGGAATAGCTGTGGATGACACGCGCCGATCGAGGCGCCTGATTCCTCCTCATTCGCTGCTCCATCCCTCTCCACTGCCTACCCGTACCCGGACACCGCGCACGCGCACGCATTCCAAACCCCCGCAACGAATGACCGGCCCTGGGACGTCTCGCCTCTCGCACCCTCGCCGATACCTCTCCCTCCTGTACTGCCTGACCCCGAGGACGACTACGACGAGATCGAGTACATAAGCCTGAGGCGCACGGGTGGGCGCCGCCGATGGAATGGGGGATGCCGAATTACGGCGCGGTGGGACAGGCGTTGCGGGCGCGCGCGGAGGGATGGGCGGAGGATGATGAGAAGGTGGTGGGCATTGGGATTAAGCTGGGAGATCCAGAGACGATTAGTTGGGAGGAGATACCTGTGCTGATGTTGCCGGAGCTTGGTGAGCATCTCCTTGGCTCTCGTCATTCCTCTCTGCTTGTCGTGCTGCTGACCATGATACGCGCAGATCCGTACGCGGACGACCCGTTTGGGTGTGTTTCCGTCGCGCCGTCGACAAAGTCGGCTGCACGGACGCGCCGTCTGCTGGCGAGCGTACCTGGCTCGACGAGAGCAGGAGCCTCGGCAACGCGTTCATCCGCTACTACGACCCGCGCGGCCACGACCAGCACCGCGATATATTCATCGGATACGCGTAGCACTCCGGTACTAGGTATTGCACGGACGACTGGGAGCCGAGCGCGGACGGCGACTGCGACGCCCCGACCCGGAGCACGAGCAACAACGCGTCCCGCACCGCCCGCACCACCCGCACGTATATCCGCAAACGCGTCTGCCACCACTTCGCGACCGGCGGTAACGATTCGGACGTCCCGCGCCGCCATGACGCACCCCGGGGCACGCGTGGGGGCGTCGAGGGCGGGAGCAACGATGCGGTCGACAGGAGCAACGACGACGGGGACGACGCGACGTCCACGGGCCGCACCACCACCACTACCGCGTCCTTGTCCTTGGGGATGCGGACCCAGCCCGTGTCTGCATCTACCGCCCCGGAGACAACGCGGCCGCGCGACCACCCGCGGCGACGGGCGAGGGACCGTATGATTTGATCGATGGGCTTCTACACGCTGGAGCAGCTGATGCGGAAACGGAGGAGTTTCTATTCGATGTCTAAGGTCTTTTGCTATCTACACGGGCAGAAAAAGGAGTGATATATATCGATTTTGGATTTTGCAGAGAGGGAGAGTGTATGTATATTTTTTCTCCTTATCAAATTATGTCTGTCTGTCGGAAGCCTTTTTAAACTCTCCTCTAGGTCAAATCAGCCCGGACTTTCGGATGAGCGCTAAATGAGTAGGCCATGTGCTCAAAAATAGACGCTCCAACCGAAGTGCTTGGGACGCGAAGCGCCTCAGCCCGCTCTTGTATCTACTAGTAACGCTTAACTCGCCCGCTCTTGTTTTCTATGTCCACAAGTACCCCCGCCACTCAGATTGCGAGCGTCGAAACTGCGGCTGTGTACATAATTCTGTCATCCTGTCATGTCGCTGATCCTTACAACCTGATTTGGGCTCAGGACACTTAAACCATAAATGCTCAATGGCCGCATTTGTCCACTTTGAACTCCGAATAAAATTGTAGGCCCGAGAACATGGAATTCTGAATCTGTCCCTCTTTCTCCCCTTTCTGTCTCTTTTTTTTGCGTCTCGCAAAACTTGAATTCCGCGGTTTTTCCGGGGACATAGGACGTGGGCCGCATTTTTTCCACCGAGTTACCGTTGCCTAGAGCAAAGGGTTTCGTCCCCACGGAACATCGTATAAAAGTCACCTGGGTATTGACTCACTTCACCAAGTGCACTTTGACCCAACTTTCCCTCCTCTCGAGACTCGTTCCCGTAACTGTCTTGGTGTATGTATTATGGTTAGTGGTCGCTTTCGTGATGACTTACTGCTGACCTCCTGGCCTGCAGAGCGTATGTGATGGTTGATTTCCACCCACCATGACTTGTTGCTGAGCTTCCTTCCACTTGCCCTGCTCGCAGTTTGTATGCGATGACCTTTTTGTGCCATAACCTGCTGCTGACCTCCATTCGACTTAACCCCGCTTGCAGAACGTATGTGATCGTATTCTTTCCGCCATCACATGCTGATCGCCCTTTGCCTTTGCCGCCTTTGCCCCGCTTGTAGCCGGTATGTGGTGGCTTGCCTCTGCCACGAATTGTCTATTGAGCACCTTCATTGACTTGCTCCGCGCAGAACGTATGTAATTGCGTTCTTTCGCGATCTGCGGCTGACCTGCCTTCGACTTTGCCCTCCTCGCAGTTCGTATGTGATGGCCTTCTTGTACCATAATCTGTTGCTGACCTCCATTCGACTTGGCCCTGCTCGCAGCATGTATGTCATCGTGTTCTTCCGCCATGATCTGTTGCTGACCACCCTTTGCCTTTACTCCGCTTGCAGCCAGTAAGTGGTGGCCTCCCTGTGTCATGAATTGTCTACTGACCTCGCTTTGATTTCCTCCGCATGCAGAATGTGGGTGATAACTTTCTTGTGCAATCAACTGCCTCACTTGGACTTTGTCTCGCGTGCAGTATGTATGTGATCGTGGTCTTGCAATATAATCCTCTGCTGACTTCACATTGACTTAGTCCCCCCCTACAGTATGTATGTGATCGCCTTTGTCCGTGATGACGCTGCGGCTGACCTGCCTTCAACTTTCCCGATGCATAGGATGTATGGCATCAATCACCTTCTTCCCCTAATATAACCTGCTGCTGACTTGTCTTCAACCCTGCCTTTCCTGCAGGTGGTATGTGATCACCTTGTTCAACCGTGACCTGCTACTGACCTGACTTTGCCCTCCCTCAGCCTGTATGTGATCGCATTTTTCTGCCATGACCTGCTGCTGACCTCCTTATGATTTTGCATGGCCCGCAGGACGTATGTGCTCGCCTTTTGCCGCCATGCCTTTCTCCTGACTTCCCTTCAACTTTGCCTGGCCTGCAGGATGTATGTGACTCTGAAGGTCTTTTTCTGCCATGACCTGCTGCTGACCTCCCTTCAATTTTGCCCCGCCCACAGCCGGTACGTGATGGTATTTTTTTGCCAAGTCCTGCTGACCCCCTTTGGACTTTGCCCTGTTTGCAGGTGGTATGTGATTGTGTTGCCTTCCATGATCTGCTGCTGACCACCCTTTGATTTTGCCCTGCTACTGCAGCCAGTATGTGATGGTCTTCTACTACCACAAGTTGTCTACTGACCCCCCATGATTTTGCGCCACACGCAGCCGGTATGTGATCACCTGCTTCCTCCATACTCACTGCTGACCTCACTACAACCTTGCTCCGCTTGCAGGCGGTATGTAATCACATTAATGTTCTTCTCTCATTGCCTGCTACTGACCTGACTTTGCCCCACACCCAGCCGGTATGTCATTGAAATTTTCGGTCATGACCTGCTGCTGATCTACATGCCCTCAACTCTGCCCTGCTCCCAGACCGTATGTAATGGCCTCATTGTGCAATAACCTGCTGCTGACCTCCATTTGACTTGGCCCCACTTGCAGGGTGTATGTGATCATGCTCTTCCACATGGTGTATTACTGACCTCCCTCCAATTTAGTTGAGGCCACAGGAAACCCGCCGCCGCATCATAAATCTGGCAACCATGTCTGCACCGCAGGCGACACCTTTTAATTCCGCACCAGAGGGTACGGGGACTAACACTGCAAGACACCGTGTATGGCTGAACGAAATTGAAGACCTACTGGTCAGCCATTGTCTTTCAATATAGGTGGTTAACGAAAATCTTCTCCAGTCTCGTAGCTCAGCAGATGATGATGTTGGTATAAATCCTGCACGTGCGCTGCGCTGGATATTGGAAAAATATGATTCTGCCTCCCTCAGTTTGCCTCCAAGAGTGGAAATATATATGCAGACCCTACTTCAGCAAGTCTTTTCATGTTTTTCCTCCCTCAATGTGGCTTATCTCTCCTAGGCACTTAAGGCCACAAATTGGGGCTGAGAATCCTGATTTTCACCGCAACAAAGAAATCCAGACTCTTGCATCTATGCATATTCATTCAGCATTCCTGGTATGCCTTGTCCAATGCATGAAATTCCTTCAATGACACTCGTCGCAGATCACAGAAGCTGATGAGATGCAACCTGGGAATCACTCTGCCCATCCAGGGTTTCGGTTGAACGATTTCAATGGGCGTCAAGCATATGTCCCTCTGGTGCTCTGCAGATCATGGACAGTATGTCTTTCTATACCAAGCAGTCTTTCTGCCTTACCCACTGCACGATGCAGGATCTCTCTTCATTCCTGAACATCATCCTAGAAGGTG